GATATCGATTAACTGTTTTCAAGGCTTTTACAAGTAAGTGCACTAACCCTACCAGATGTCGATCAACTGCTCAAGGCTTCCAAGTAAGTGCGCTACTTACAAGCGCAATTTATTTTCATATGTAGCATTCCAATACACAAAGTTGACAAGAAAGGTTCAATTGCTTCTTCCGATGACTAAAGACCATATTTAGTTGTTTACATAGCCTAATCTTTTAACCCCTATAGAAACTATGGTCCAAGTAAAATTTACTGTGAATACAGTCGAAGTGACAGTGGCGCGTGCTTTGTTACCCAGAATTGGTGAGGCTGTTAGGCTCTGGCAATAAAAGGTTGTAACGACCATACATTTCTTTTTGATCACTGTTTAAACAAAGAGAGAAATATACAAAGTTTTCTAATCTTCACGTAATAGTATGTCTCTTTAGCTTTGTACTGTACATTTCATTTTATTATGCGCATTTTTTCTTACGCTAGTAACTTTAGCGGTACTATAGACCTTACGGCTTTTAAATTTATAGCATAATTGCTTAGAAAAACCCGCATTCCGTCAAAGAAAATGTACTTGCTAATAAACTAAAGAGGCACAATAAAAAATGATGTTACTGGGGGGAACGTTTAAGGCAGTGAACATCGACATAACACAATGCCTTCCGATTAAACATCCAGACCGTTAAATGAGCCTCAATAGCTGCAGGTTGGAGCTTCAATGAATGTCATTCAAAACTCAACATGTTAAGTGATACATTCTAACATCACGTTAACACGCATATATCGCACATACATTGGCTGCTTCAGTAGTTGATACACCTTCACGATCGTATAGATTACCATTTCTCTCAGTTTAATAGAAATCTTTGCATGACTCCACCATTGATTCCGTAAGTGGATGGCCCAAAGACGTAACCTAGGAGACAAAGTCGCTTAAATGAAGCCTTGTATTCTTCTTCTTTCCAAAATATCAATAAACAGATAAATCATATAAAGGCTAATATGAAGTCGCATTTTAAAGCACTTATTATTC